CCCCCGTTTCGGGTTTTGTTTTTCGGTTCGAGGGCGAGCGGAGAGAGGGGGGCTCCCGCGGGCCTGACGACCCGCACGGCGATTCGCACCCGCTGCCGGGCCGCCGCTAATAAGCTGCAGAGGAAGCAGCCAATCTCAGCTAATTACCAGATAAAATTGTATTGTAAGGACTCTAATTAGGAGACGCTTACGGAGGTGATCTGATGATTAAACGCCGCATCCGAGTGACCCCACCATCAATGTGCAGCGGTGCAAGATGTCGCTGGAATATTTTTGTAGAAACAGTAATTTTATTTCAAGGAGGGGAGGCGGTAATATTTGTAATAATGGCTATGAGGTAAACTAATTAAAAGACAGTTCCTAAAGGAAGACTGTGGCTTTGAGCAGCTGTGGCCGTTCCAAAACAAAGTGCCAAATCTCAACAGAGGAGCTGCAGTCAAGTGGAAAATTTCTGCCTGACCTCTGCTCTCGCTATTAATTTGCAGGAAAACTAATGACACATATACATATTCCCACAAAATTGTTCTAATTGCTAATTTGCCAAAGGAGCCCAGTTTCCAAATTAAACATGACTGCAGTCTGCGAGGACAGAAAGAACAAAAAGCTGGAGCAGCGCGAGTATACTGCGTTTCACCTCCGACAACCGCTCCAGAGACTGAACCAACAAGTTAATGAAACACGACCTTGTCAAGTGCTAGCAAAGTTTTCCCCTTTTTTTAATGGTTTTTTTTTTTTTGATGACACTCTCTCTTCTCCTAACAGGGATCCAAGCCCTGCCAGTGATATTACCAAAATACAACATAGCGGAAGGGAAAAGAAGATGGTTCTCTCTCCTCTCGCTTGCATTGCTGCTCTCTTTGTTATCGACGGAACGAAGACTGACGCATCAGTCGTGAATTAGAGCAGAATAACAAATTATGAATGGCGTTGGTTTTCTTGCAATCTTAAAATATTAATCTTAATTGTAAACTATTAAATCTTAATCTTGTCGCCAGTTACAGATGCGGAAGCGCCTCGGCTCTGCGCTGCTGGCTGCTAAAGATGCTTATGCAGGGCAAAGATCAGGAAGGGACCGGACCGGGAGGGTTTCTTTTCCTGATGGAAACTCTACACAGTTTCTCACTGTTTGCATTTGCTATTTAAAAACAGGTTACTATGATTAGAAAAGTTGTTCACGCTGGTATTTTGTACACAGCTCGTTTCCCACATACTGCAATTTTTGGATGAGGCATCATTTTTGCCAGAGGGTAACGAGCAGAAGTCACCAAGCTAGCATTTTAATGAGCAAGAATTTTTGCATCGCGGCGGGGTGCACAAACCAGAGCAACCTCCACGTACACTGCAGAGCGCAGCCCTCACTGCAAAGGGTTAAACCGATCTCTAATGTTTGTACTGGGCGGGGGGATGATTTCTTTCACCTTTTTATTAAAAAACAAAACCAAACCCTAAACCTTAAAAAATAGTTTTGAGTCCTAAAATTCTGTAAATTCAATCACTGGAAGTTGTTAAGTGTTTTTCTTTCTTTTTTTCTTTCTTTTTTCTTTTTTTAAGTACCTCATACTGTTTTAACTTAACAATCATAAATGCCGTAATTGTTTCAGTGTTCAATATCCTGCTTAGCATTTTATTATTAACCTTCCCTTTCAAGAAACGGCCACTTCTTCCTCTTAAAGGTGAAGATTGAGTCATCAAATTCTTTTTTTTTTTCCCTTTAAATATAAACAAGGCAGAGAGGTAACCCTCTCCTTCACCCCGTAAAACAGATTTCTAGTAAGCGGCTCTCCCATCAGGACGCACTTTGATTTCTTTTTGCGTAAACACTTTACATGACAATAGCGGCTGCACATAAAAAAAACCCGGATCTGAAACAGTTTAAAAAGAAAAAAAAGAAAAAAAAAAGGAAAAAGAAAAAAAGAAAAAATAGGTATGTTTATAAGTGTCACACTGGGGCCAGAGTCAGTGCTCCAGGGCAGTGATTCCTCGGCTATTGATGCTGCCTTTCTGGTCGCAGCTGAAAGCAGTGATTTACGGAGTTCCTGGGCCTTAGAGGCTCTGGAGCGGAGAGAAAGCTAACGCTGGGCCTGCAACTTTGCTAAATTCTGTGTCTTCCTCTCCCATTTCAGCCTGGACACATGACTGTGTGAGATGTCGAATCTGGCAGGCAGCAATCACTTAGCAGGTGTTGTTATTGGCAGCAATACTGAGGAAACCGAAGTTGAGGAGTGAGACTTAATGAAAACCAGTATATAAAAACAGCTTTTGTTGTGCTTGAGAATCTCTCTTTATTGCTGCGTATCATTATTTTTTCAAACTATAAAGTACGGCTACAGCAGCTAAAATGCTCAGTCATTACCTCAACGGTTAAAAGACTATTTTTTTTTTAATGCTTTGTTATTACAGTTGCTAAAAACAGTATTTCAAAACAATCGTAATTGCTACGGTTAGGGTAAAAAAATACATTAAAGAAGGGATATCTAACAGTGCGTTTTATTTAAAGTGCCAAAAGTTTCTTTAAAAGTTTTCTGTCTATTTTTAAAAGATGGATGTAACACCTAGTATGCAGAATTACTTGTTGGTTGATGCTTTTTCCTTTTTCCTTCCCTCCCTATGAACCTCGATGTCAGTTAATCCTCCAAAAGAAATCACATTTCCATTTCAGCCTATTATGCTGATCGCTAACGTGAATGAAAATAGCATGTAGCGGAAGCTATCTTAATAGCAAAAGCAGGATGATAATGCTTGAGAAATCTTTGTTCTGGATTTCAGTTCGGGTTTTTTGCATTCAAAAATTTTACCTTCCAGAAACATATCACGGCATATCCCTCCACGGGCAGCTTTAGTCTCACTTTTTTTTCATTACCTTATTCTCCCTAAAACACCACATGTCAAAGTAATAGGAACAACTCTGTATTTTTCAAGCATCAGGTCGTGCGATATGTCCATTTTCTGCTCAAGTGTTGCACCGCTGGATATTTTAATTACGAAGGTGGAGGTGTTTAAAGAAGGCACTTAGCACTCGCCCTCCTCTCGATGTGCTCGCCGTCCCCATCCCTCCCTCTGCCACCTCCTGACCTGCCCAGAAGCTCTCCCGGGAACAAGGCAGCAGTGTGCAGGACACCAACAGAGCCCTCTCCACATACAGAGATTTATCTGCCAACAGTTTGGGCTGTCCACCAGTGAACTGCAGGAGAACGTGCTTAAATCCCATCGGCTTTAATAGGACTAAAGAGCTTTACTGAATAGATAGCCTTGGCGGATTGGTATAGCAAAATCCACTGGCCGCGTCGCTGCATGTCCCGGAGTAAAAATGACTCCAGGAAGCTGAAGCCATCTAAAGCTGGGTATGGGACTGAGGGACACGAGCCTGATGGATGCCCACGGCTGGACACGCAGCCCGCGGCTGAGCTTGGGCGAGTCCTGAGCCGACCCACGAGGACCAGGCACCTGCCTGCGACCCCAGCAGCCCCAGGCCACCCCCCGAAGGCACCGGGCGTACCTACAGACGGTGTAAGCAGCTCGTTCACCCCCTTCATTCACGGGCCGCTTATGGAATGGTTTAAAAATAGGCGTTAAGAGCCTTTAAACAGAATAAAAATATTTCTTCAGCCATGAAAAAGCGGCAGCTTTAAATCCCAATTCATTGCTATGCTTGGATTCGCAGTCAC